AGGAACTGTGAGACGATCTCCACAGGTTCCTTATAACCGGGTTTCAAACTCTACACCCATCTGTTCTTTTTTAAAGAGAGCTATGCCCCTGGTCAACGGTATTGTTTTCCATCAAAAAAGCAAGCACAGGATTATTTAGGGAATGGGTTTTTCCTAAGAGCCAACGGTGGCCCCAGAAGTAACAGAACTCTTCCCTAACTTTCCTGTCACCAAACCAAAGAATTCTGCTTTTATGTCTACACATAATGAATGAGGGGAGACGGTCGCCACTGAAGAATTTATTAGGTGCCCAGTCACCAAACTTCATCCCACCAAGCAGAATCTACCTCTAGTAGCTTTTTTCCCACCTCATCTTCTCAAATCTCCACCAATCTTTTTATTTTTTATTTTTCTTTTAAGATTTTATTTATTTATTTGACAGAGATCACAAGTAGGCAGAGAGGCAGGCAGAGAGAGAGAGGAGGAAGCAGGCTCCCCGCCAAGCAGAGAGCCCGATGTGGGGCTCGATCCCAGGACCCCGAGATCACGACCTGAGCCGAAGGCAGAGGCTTTAACCCACGGAGCCACCCAGGGGCCCCTCCACCAATCTTTGTAGAGAGGTTTTCCTTCTCTGCTGCTGGTAAAACCACACTGCCAAAAATATCCAAAAGGCCTCACTGATTTCAAGGCTCTAACCTCATCTGTGCCCCCTGGAAACCCTCAGTGCAAAATCGACCCCACACACAGGCTGTGTGTCCACTATAGTCTGGTAAGGCCTGGAAGAGGAAAAACAGCTCTGGTCAGGGAGAGCTCAAGGAGGCCCCGGTGTTCCATCTGGTGCTCAGGATCGTGGGCTCGTGTCCATCAGAATTTCCCGCGGCCGACCTGGGTTCAGGGGTGGGGTCCCACGGAGGAGGAGGTTGGGTGGGTGCACCTTTGGCATTTCGGTAGACCCTGGGTGCTCACAGCAGGCGGGAGCAAAGGGCCTCATTCCCACCTGGACAGTCTCCACTTTAGAACTTCAAAGACCTCCATTAGGCTGGGCCCAGCTCTCTAACAGGTGGCTGGGGGGAGGGAAGGCCCGTCCCCTGGAGGGCCCAACACTACAACGTGAGACAAAGGGGAAGAGAGAAGGGGTGAGCAAGTCGTGGGGTGACGTCACCTTGTGACCACCTCCCATCTGCTCTACCTGCCTTGGCTTCAGGCGAGATCCTGGAAAAGAGGGTTCCAGGGCCTAGACGGGGCAGCGATTCCAGGTCTTTCGTCTTTCCCTAGCCTGGAACGTGGACCCACAGCAGGGCTGGTGTCCCTGTAAACAGAGGGCTCCAGAGAACACCTGCCTCCCTGACAGGCTTCCCTTTCTTTGCTGCTTTCCCCCTCAGGTAGCTCTGCCCTGGAGTGCGCCCAGAGTTTGAGGGAGATCAACCACCTCGGCCAGATGGTCCCCTACCGCCAAGCCCTCGTTTCCTGCATTTCTGACTATACGGCAAAGTGGCAAAACCACCAGCGAGGAGGACCTCAAAGGGGTAAGACAGGGTAGTAAGTACTGGCAGGAGACCCTGGGTTGACCGCAGGGTTCCTCCGAAGTTTCCATGGTCCAGACTTTGGGGTTCGAATCCTGTTGCTCCCAAAGCAGCTCAACCAACTGAATATGGACAAGAAGTTAGTCTCTCTCTGCGTACGTCTGTCTCCCTGGGAAAATTAATTTTTTCTTTGGCAGATGGCTGACTCACAAAGACAGAAGGATTCATAAAATTCCCATGAACATCCTGTAAACACTTAAACACATGAAGATTAAATAAGGCAACCACGACCTTGATTAAAGTTAAAGCCTTTTTTCTTTTTTTTGTTTTCTTTTGCGTGTCCACAGCCCCACAACCTGTAATTCGAGGCTCACCTCCCCAGCTCTTCTGACAGGCGAGGCTCTCACCGGGCGTTGGGCGTGCGCAAGCAACTGTCTGATTAGCTCCTTTTACAACGGGAAATTAAAGGCACCAGAAGAAAGCAGTGATTCGCATCACCCAAACACAAGAACGTCCCGGTTCTCTCTCAAACCGGACAGACTCTATAGAAGAAAAGTCAAAGGAAGCCCCGTGTACCTGCTGTTTCCGCCCCTCCCCCTTCCCGACACATTGTTTCGTCCCTACCAGAGACCGGGGGTCCTGAGATGGTTGACAACTGTCACCTAACCAGGTGAGATGGCTCACCGAAGCTCAGACAGACTGACAGGACTTGAGTCCTGGCCCCGTGGTTTCAGCTGGAGTCTGGTCCCCAGACTGCTCAGCCCCACAGCCGGGCTGCGCCCAACCCCCACCCCGCCCCGCCCCCACCACAATCAGCTTGTGAGATTCCCTCCCGCGGAGAAATTTTATGGACCAAATCTGCCTGGCCACCGGGCTCCGCAGCGTCATCTCCCCAGCAGCTCCCAGCCACACTTCTCGAAGGCTAGAACGCGGTGGGGCTCCCGGGAGGGAGAGGCAAGAGGTAGCTTCCAACATTTGGAGGGGGAGGCGTGCACGTGCCCGTGTCCCTGCCCTCTTCCCGGGCTGTTCAATCTTCTGCCCGTAGCGTTTGTGACCCGATATAAATCCACCCTTTCTTTCCAAACGCTTTTTGGTGCTCTTGGCTAAGAATACCGCACAGAGACGGGAGACCTGACTTGCAGGCAGGCCGGCTGCCTCGAAGGGGAACTTGAACTTGATGTGCATGAAGCTGACAGTTCCTTGAAGGCCTCGTCACCCATCCATCCGGTAAACCCTGCCACCACCCGGAGTAAAAACAGAGCAAAACCCACAGGCAGGGATCGGGACTCCGTGCACCTGTCTCGAAGCAATTATTGACATTATCACTACACAATGAATCGCTTTTTGAAGTTGTTTTCCTGATATTTAGCAGCCTGAATACTAATCCCCTTAACAAAACTGTCCCCAAGCTTTCTCCCCTCCCTGGCCCCCCTAATCTCCTTCTCTCCAGGGGGAGGGCGGGGCCGGGGACCAGCCAGTCGACTTCACCGCACCTGGATTTGCATTGATACCTCCCTTGTCATTCATGTTACCAACAGGAATTAGCATAAGGCATTAAGGGAGACTCGGGAGGAGAAAAGAAAGGCCATTTTGATGGAAATAAGGGGCAAAGGCATAATCTGCCATCGACTAAAATGCTTATTTGTGTATGGTTTCCCAAGCAAAGCTCAGAAAAAGCCTATGTTGATTTTAGTATACACAAAGAAACGTTAATCCTTTCAAGGCAACTAAATCACCCCCAGAAAAGCAGCTCAGAAGAAAGGCACCCTGTCAGGGGGATGGCTATTCACAACCAAATAGGATGCCACAAATCACACTCTGTAAGTAAACAAAAATAAGAATGTGGGAAACGTTTGATTGGGAAGGGAAGGGGGACAGAAGTGGGGGCGTCGGGGCTGGGGGGGCGGGACTCTCATCACGCACTGTTCAACCTCCCTGAAGAGACCCTTTCAACTCGGGGAGGGCAGCGAGGGCCTGAACGCAGGTCCCAGGGCCAGCTCCCGCTCTAAGGCCAATCCCCCGAAGGGTAAAGACATTCCAGAGCTTTTTGGAGCTACAGAGCAGAAGAGGGAGGGGCGGCTTAGATGCCGGAGGTCCCCGAGGGGGGAGGGGGAACCAGTGGTCACTGAGACACCTAAGACCTTTTGGGAACCTGTCCTGCTAGCCTCTTCCTCTTCCTCCTCCTCCCCACTGCTCTCTCCCAGATCCACCAGGGTCTACCCCATCCTCTTCCCTCATCAAAACGAGCAATAAACAACTGGCATTTTCGCAGAGATGCCCTGTATGCTGTGAGCTGCACCCGTCTTTTATTGGGCTTTTAGCATCATGGATAACAAATTGGTACAAACTTTCCGTCCATCAAAAAATATGATGAAATATAAAACTGGAATAGTCCATTACGCAATAAAAAAGATAAAAATTCAATGTGACAGTAACTCTGGGAGGAACGGCAATCACAGCAGCACATACACCTCAGGGGAACGCAAAACATAACGTACGATTCTAAACTGCAGTGGGTTCCAATTCTAAAATAATCCAGGAGCCCAAAATTGCTGCACTTGGAAACGTGTCTTACTAACCAGTGAGCAAAAATGCTAGCCGAGGCGCAGGACAGGATGTCGGAAGTGGCTTCCAACGTCGCCCCTTTACGAAGGGAGGCCCGGTTCTGTTCAAGCGCTACTGGGACTCTGCCGTGTAACCGCAGACCCGAGATGACCCCAGAAAGCACACCTCCACTTAGCAATCACCACACCAGCGCCTCAATCAGGTTCCACGGCAAAGAGGAAAAGATGGAACGGTTTATATCACTTACACCTTCCAAATTACACACCTCTGTATCGCCAGTGATGAGAGACTCCCCTACGTTTCATTATTTCCAACAACACTGCTACAAATGAAAACTGCCCAGAAACCTATTGGCAATGATTTAAGAGAAGTTTTCCCTTTATGCACTGTTCCATGATTAGCCTCTCTTAGTCCGTACTGCAGTTGGGAAGAAATTAATGGGATAGCACATATTTAAATTTTGCCTTCTTGCTCGTTTATTAACTTTCCAGAAAGCCCACAGCAGAGTAAGGCTTGGTTTATGGCCATATCCCGTGCATACTAAACACCCACGGGTAACTGGAGACCGCAGAACAAATCAGCTGTTTATGGTTCTCTGACTGCTGGGTAGTTGATAAGTAACAATGAAGTCAAGGCATTTTGAGAACTCTTACTCTCCGTGACGGCTTCCTACGTTACATTAACGTCACGGGGGGGGGGGGGTGATTTCTCCGTCCAATCAATTTGAATAAGGATTCAGCGTATTCCGTTACAATAAACCGTTCCTTCACACGTCCCAGAAGCATACGGATTCTGTCTCCAGCAAAAACACAAAATATGGACAGCGGCTCCAGAACGAAAAACAGAAAGACTGTGTTTTACTCGGACTTCTTAGGCAATGACAATGAGACAAAAACCCAAACCCAGCCACTGCTCGGAATTCCGGTGTCTTACCTTTGTTTACAATAACAGTATTGAAGAGTTTTTCAGAGCTGGCATCTGATGCCTGAAAAACAAGAGAGGGAGAAAAAATGTTATTACGGTCACAGATACCGCCACCAGCATCATCACTACCGTGAGTTTTAAATCAATTCACTACATTTTTAGAACAGCCGGAGGGGAAAGCAGCTGCTTCCCCCAACTGTCCACAAGGTGGTGCTGTTTGACTGCAGGAGATGGACCTGCAGTGCAGCTCTGTGCTGGGGGAAAAATCTTGATTTTCAAAAACGTGTCCTTATTAGACATATTATCTGTGCAAAACATATTTCTATGAGATGATACACAAAGCAATTCAGCTCATTCACATAGTGATTTTGCAATTTCGTTGACAGATCATTATTTTAGAAATGGCACTTTTTCCCCGTGATACGTGCAGACATGCCTGTTTTTCAGTTTTCTTTCACAAACCAGAAATGCCTATTATTTAACGTTAAGCCCTTCCTCACTAAAAAGTGTTGACTAGCACTTCCAGAGATTAATTTAAAGATTCATCCGATGACCTCAAGATCCCTGTTCTTCCCAGTAACCAGGATGACCTTGGTGTTGAAACAGAAGCAAGCTGACCCGGCCCACAGCCGGAGACTATGCCTGCCATCAGCACTAGAGCCTTTCCATTTTCCAGAAATCCTGTATTCTAATTATTACAGGGGCTCAAGGAAAGTGAAAGAAGCCTGTTTGAACAGTGAGAGCAAAGCCACCGTAAATTATACACTCATATGCTGGAAAATAAACAGAAGTTGGTTTGTAGGGAACGCTGCAACGTTGCAGAAGCAGGGAATATTTCTAGAATTTCTAGAGGATTTAAACAATTGAACCGAAAATCGGCATCCCCACTATGGAATTCGAAGACGGATCTGCATTTCAAGTTACAATGGCGATGTTGGGTCTCTGCCGTTTTTCCCACGCAACCCTTGTAAATTACTTGCCTTTCACACTTTATACATAGAGATGCATGTTTTGACAAAGCAAAGCATAGGATGTTGGATAAATACAGAGGGGACTGTAAGGAATACGGGGAGGGTGTATCTGAAGTACACATAGCCTGACTCGGGGGCTGGCTTTGGGGGACAAAGAAGATACTCAATTTAGCCTTTCTGTGCTACGCTGATGAAAAACAGATATTCTTGTGTCTATCTGGGCAACGTGTTCTAGTTCTTGATGCAAGGGATACAGAGAGACATAAAATATTTTCATTATGAGGATTTTTTTCCTTTTTTTTTTTTTTTTCTTTAAAGCTTCCGTAGGGGATGGTTCGGAAAATTTAAGGATGCAGGAGAAAAAGAAAAGGAGGAGTAAAGTGTGGGACTGCGTACACGTTTGTGCATAAACAGTTTAAAATAAATCCTGGAGAGCTTTTTAAAAAATTCTGCATGAATAGAAAATATGCCAAAGGCCTTCCTGACATCTTAAAGGTAATTAAATTTAAATTGTGTACGATAATAGCTTCCCATAAAAATAAGCCTCCGGAAAAAACAAGTGTGGCATTCGGAGGGAAACAAGATATCCATTAAGCAAATCAAGAGGATTGTTACGAAGGCCAAAATGACAGGAATAGGGTTGTTACATCGTGATACCAGGCCAGGCTTCTAGGAACGTGAGCTTCCCCTGCTGAAACTCTGAGATAAGAGCATGTCACCACTCCTGGATGAAAAGAAAGCACTTCTTCGTTCAAACGGGAAGGGCTGTGCTAAATTCATAGCTGAGAAAAATAAACTCCAGCTGAAATATTCAGAAGGAAAAAAAAGAAGGCCCAGGAATGAAGTCATCTTAAAAGCGCAAAAACCCTCGCAGATACGGGGACTGCTTATTCAGAGGCGTCTCGCTGGCCCAAGGAAACGGGACGACACATGACTGCACCCCAAGTAAGGGAAGGAAGCGGCTCCGACTGAGTTTTTGTTCGCGCTCGGGCCGTGCGACGCGCGGGCAAACCCGGCAGAGCTGCAGGTGAACCGGCCTCCGCTTGTCCGCAACTCCTCCCGGCGGCGGCCGCCTTGGCGGGCCGCGCAGGGCGCCCCGATCGCCGGAGGCGGCTAGGGGTCCTCGCCCCGAAGCGGGCCGGAGGCTGTGCCCGCTGCGACGCCAACCGGCAGGTCCCAGGGGACCACGCGTGACCGCGCCGGCGGCGCCGCGGCCTGCAGCGGGGAAGGGACCCCCCGGAAGGCCTCGGCACCCGGGGCGCTGCCTCATCCCAGCAGGGTGCTGGGTCCCCCGCCTCCCGCCCGGGTGGCCGAGGCGATGGCGGGCCCCTGCCCTGGACGAGCGAGAACGGCTCTTCGGCCCGAGACCAGAGTGGAAACTGCAGGAAAACGGTCCACATTTCCCGCACGAACTTTCCCAGGTCCGCTTCCGCCTCCCAGGCGCTCGTGCGGGCTCTGCGGCTCCGGGCGCTCGGGTCCGCGGCGCTGGGGAAGGAGCCCGCGATCCCCTGCGCTCCCGGGGCCGTTCGCGGCCGGTCTCGCCTGTTTTTAACTTTTACGGCTATTTCTGCCCCGCACGCGAGCGACCGCCCGCAGGCCCCGCAGCTTCCCGCCGTCCTTCCGGAAACCCCCGGCCCTGCGCACGCCGGGGTCGCAGGCCCGGGCTGGGCGCGGAGGGCGAGGGCGGGAAGCGGCTGGCTGGGGCGGACGACGAAAACCGCGCCGGCCGCGCCGCGCTGGGGCTGGGTCCGTCCTCGCGCACGAGCGGCTCGGCGGCCGCGGAAAGTTGGTGGAGCCGAGCGGAGGCGCGGAACGCGCGGGGACCACAGGGCAGGCACCGGCCTCCGCACCCGCGCGGGCGCCGGGCCCTTCCGCTCCCCCGGCCGCAGACCCCGGGGAGCCCCCCTGCAGCGTGCCGCGGGAGGGGGCCCAGGGGAGGCCGAAAGCCGCCCCGAAACTTCCGCGCGGCTCCTGCAGCCGCTGCCGCCGGCCCCGAGCCCCAGCCCCGCCGGCTTCCGCGGGCACCGCGTGCGGGACCCCCGCCCCGGCCCCGCAGCCCCGCGCCGCGCCACCGGCCCCGGTCACCTGAGCCCCTCGGGACGGGAGGCGCCGGGTCGGCGGCCGCCCCCACGCCCCCGCCCCGCCCGGCACGACCGCGCCGCCGCTCCCGGCCGAGGCCGCCGGCCCCGAGGAAAGTACAAAGGCGGGCGGCGGGGCGGCGGGGGAGGCAGGGGGAGGGCGGGGGGAGGAGGAGTGACGAAGGGGGGCCCGGGCGCGCCAGACGCGAGGCGCCCGCCCCCGCCGCCCCTGCCCGCCGGCCCGGCCGCCGCAACAAAGACCCCCGACCCGGCCGTCTCCCCTCCGAGCGCGGGCGGGCGGCGAGGGGCCGCGCCCCCGGGGCCGCATTACCTGGTCGCACGGGGTCAAGCGGCGCTGTCAGCCCCAAGTTCATGGTCCGGTGCCTCCGCGGGGCCCCCGGTGCGGGGATCGCAGCGCCCAGGAGGCGGTCGAGTGCACGGGGAGGGAACGCGCGGCTCCGGCCGCGTCCCCAAGTCCGTCCTCGGGGCGCTGCGGGGTCCGAGCGCGCGGGGCCGGGTCCGCGCCGGAGCAGCCGCCGCACATCCAGCGCCGCCGAGGCCGGGCGGTGGGGCGGAGGAAGCCCGGTCCGCGCCCGCCCGCTGCCTCCGGGCCGCTCCTACGGCGCGCGGGTCGGCCGGGCACGGCGGGGGCCGAGCGGCGTCCCGGGCGAGGCGGAGAGGAGCGGCCCGAGCCGCGGCCGCGGCGCGCGGAGCTAAGAGCGAGGCGGCGGCGGCGGCGACAGGACAAAGGAGACCATGTGCGGAGGGAGGGAGGAGGGAGCGGGAGGAGGAGGAGGAGGAGGAGGAGGAGGAGGGCGCGCGGCGGCGGCGGCGGCTTCTCCCCGGCGGCCGCCTCGGGCTCCCCGGCCGCGGGTCCCGCCTCTCCAGCAGCGCCGCGGCCCGACCGCTCCCGGCCCCGCCGCCGCCGCGCTGCAGCCCGCGGCTCCGGGAGCCCTTGTCTGGCGGCCTCGCGGGCGCGGCAGCGGCAGGGGCGCGGGGAGGGCGGCGCGGGGCGACGGCGCCTCCGGGCCGGGGCTGGCGGGCGGCGGGGCGCGGGGCTGGCTGGGCTCCGGGCCGCGCTCCGCTGCGGCGCCTGCCTCTGCCGCCGGCTCCGGCTCAAGTGAACTCCATCGGCGGCCGCCGCGGGCTCCCGGGCCGGACGGGGGGCAGCACGGGGGGCAGCACGGGCGGCGGCGGCACCGGGGGCCTCGCTCCGGACTTCGCTCCCCGACCGCGCCGAGCGCGCCTCCTGCAGACGCTCGGGCGCTGGGAGCGGGACTTCCTCGGCGCGCGGAGCCCCAGCCGCCGGCCGCCGCCCCTCCCCCGGCCCGCCCCGCGCGCCCCGCCCCGCGCCGCCCCTCCTCTCGCCCCGGCGCCGGGCCGCCCCGCGGGGGCGCAGTCCGGGCGCGACGTCGACAGCTGTCGCTCCCCCCGCGCCTCGGGCCCCGGGTCCCCACGGCGGGCGGCCCCGCGGGCGGGCGCGCCGGGAACTGCAGCGCTCCCCGCCCTCCCCGCGGTTGCCGCTTCCAGCGTTGCGCGGCGGCCGGCGAAGGCCACGAGGCCCGCGGCCTGGGGTTGGGCTGAGGCGGGGCCGCGCTCGGCGCCGAGAGCGGGCTCGGTGCGCGGCTGTGAGGGCTGCAGAGCGGTGTGCGTCGGGGACGGCCCGGCACACAGTAGGTGCTCAATACAGAGCAACAAGTACGCTGCAGAACATGGCGGGGGGGGGCAGAGTCTAGTGTCAGAACACAGAGCTCTTCCTCTAACCTCACCCCAGCACGATCAAAGACTAAATGCAGTCGGTTAAGTCCCAGGGACAATGGAGCCCACGACCGGGCCATCGCAGACACCCCGGCCCCTTAGTCTTCCCATCCACTGACATCTGTAGGCCTCACAGCCGCAAAGGTGCAGCCGGCCGGTCCCCCCAGCGTCCACCAGATGCAGGGAAGGGATGAAAGGATACGCAGCCTCACGAAATGGGCCGCAGTTACTATCGTTCTATCATTTATGGCCAC